TCTGAAGTTCAGGAAGGTTATTTGTTTTTTTTCTTCAGTATTGCTTTTGGCAATTCTGGGTCTTTCGTGATTCCATATAAATTTTAGGATTATTTGTTCTAGTTCTGTGAAAAATGTCATGGGTAATTTGATAGGATTCACATTAAATCTGTATATTGCTTTGGGTAGCATGGCCATTCTGACAATTTTGGATTCTTGAATCCAAGAGCATGGGATATCTTTCCATTTTCTTTAAGCCATCTCTAATTGACTTAATCAGTGGTTTGTAGTTCTCTGTATATAAGTCTTTCATCCCCTTGGTTAGATTTATTCCTAAGTATTTTATTGTTTTTAATGCAATTTTAAAAGGAATTTTTTTCTTTACTTTCTTTTTCTGATATTTCATTGTTAGTGTTAAGAAATGCAACTGATTTCTGTATGTTAATCTTATATCCTGCTACCTTACCGAAGAAAATTCAACATCTACTAAAGACTGTGTTTTAAATAATGTAGTCAGTAGCATTAGCTTTAGGAAAGCAATCCTGTCAGTATATTGACAAGTGCAGAGCTTAGTCTCTCCTAAAAGCCATTTGTCTTCTCTACATGTTGCTGCAAAGCTCCGTAACCCTGCATTGCATCTGGTGTAATTACCCACACCCCTACCCCAGTGAATACCTATGTTAATTCATTCTTTAATCCAAGTCGGAGACCTAACATTTTCACTTATTTGGTCTGATTTTATTAGATTGATGCTAAAACCTGCAATGCTACAATTTTAAGACTTAAGAAAATAATTCTCTGCTGAAATATTTAGTCAGTATGTGTTTAAATGACCTTCTTTTCGTCGTCTTTTTTTTTTTTTCTCTGTAGGTCGAAAGTTTAAAAAGTTTAATAAAGTTAGAGTTATGAGAGCCCTGGATGCTGTTGCTCTCCCACAGCCGGTGAGCATTCCAAATGAAAGCCAGAGAATCACTTTTTCACCAAATCAAGACTTACAGTTGGTCCCCCCACTAATTAACCTGCTCATGAGCATTGAACCAGACGTGGTCTATGCGGGACATGACAACACCAAACCTGACACCTCCAGTTCCTTGCTGACCAGTCTGAATCAGCTCTGCGAGAGGCAACTCCTTTCAGTAGTCAAGTGGTCTAAATCACTGCCAGGTAATAATAATTTGTATATAATAGCATGCAATGATCACTTTACTGTGGTTTTATTCTAGTGAATATATAAAACAAGTCTGTGCAATAAATTAAATATAGTGTAAACAAGATATATTTCAGCAGTTCAGAATATTTATCTAGGACCCTGTATTATCTGTTACTTGTCTAGGACCCTACTGTGTACTAC